CATTAATCCTTGAGAGATCATGCATATCTTAATCATAACTCTTAAATCTTCATTTCAAATGCAAGTAAAGATTAAGAGTAAAGTTCGAGGATTTCCTTTTGAGTCATTTGAGAAGTCTTTTACAATCTTTTAAAACTTGTTTAAAGACTTGAGTACTTGAGCATAAGGATGAGAAGAGTTGAGTTCATGTTTCCAAAATGAATATAAGGGAACTAAGTATTCTCGAGTGTAAATGTTTTACATTTAAAAACGAGAGGAAACCTTGATTTCCAATGAGTTCATGAGGACTTTTTGAGCATAATCTCTTTTAAGAGAACCTTTTCAGTAATAAACTCAAAGTTTGAGGATGAGGAAATGTTTTTAAACATATGAGCATGAGTTATATTATTGTGAGTAGTATTGAGCACCGATATGGGGACAAGTTTAGACAACTCACAGTCCTCATGATAAACCATGTATGCCAATATGGGTAAAGGGTCATACTTTTTAGACGATTCCTTATTGCTTTTAAACATAGCTTAGTGGATCCACTTAGTTGAGAATGTCTTATATTCCAGCAAGGTATAGGACAGTTCTGGCAGTGTGGGCGAGACGTTGTATCATCACATAGCTCATAGTGATGGTTGTCAGTTAGAGAATCTCTCAAATAAGAGTAAAAGAGTTTATTGTTGTATTTTTAAATACATTGAGATATTATCTACTGTTTTACAAGCTTTCTTTATACTGCATCTTTATTGTTGCTTTTATATTGAATTAAGTTGAGTATTTCTAAGTTCAGTTGAGTTGAGATGAGGTGAGTATGTTTTTATTTTTAATCAATTCAAGCTTATGTATGTGCTTTAGAGTTTCCCTTTCATGCTCGTGCATTCAATATGTTGACAACATTTGGCCTGCATCTTTTTATGATACAGATACAAGTATTCAGGGTCATCAACAGGCGCTCCGTTGATACCACTTGCAGTCCCAGTTAGCTTTGGTGAGCCTCCTTGCTTCTAGAGGATTTCCACTTTTATTTCCAGTCTTGTTAAGATGTTGTGGGTCTTGTCCGACGTCTATCACAGTTATTAGAGGCTTCATAGACAGTAGTGTTTTGAAGAGTCTTTTCCATTTTTATTGTTAATGTTTAAAACTTGAGTTGCCTTCTTATGGCTAGTTGAATATTTTTAAATATTCTGAGTTATGTATTTTGAGACATTTGAGTTAAATCTTTGCATTTGAGTTCCTATGTTGTTGAGTAAGTCTTCCGCTGAGTATTGAGTCAGCCAGGGGTTCGCTTGGGAACCAACAATGGTTCTCGAGTGCTAGTCACTTCAGGGTGTAGGCTCGGGGCGTGGCACTATTTTAAGTGAATAATCTTCACTGATCATTTGGGTTCGTGTTTAGCATAGGCCATGGCCTATTTAGAAATAATAAGGAAAACTTTTAAAAATAACAAACATTAGGCACTCAATACCTATATTTTGCTTTATTACGAATAATAGCAAAATGTTGGGAGAGGAAGGAGGAGAAAGGCGAGCGATATTTGGAAGAGAGAGGAGAAAGTTTATTTATTTCGCAAATTTCGGAGAAAAAATGCAAATACAAATTGACTTGTATCAAAATAAATACATATTAAGAGGAGAGAGGCGAGCGAAATCAAGAGAGAGAGGAGAGAGGATTGCATTTTGTATTTTTGCATTGTATTACGTATTTATTTTATATCAATTGTATTCGAAATACAACGAATTATATTTTGTATATCTTGGCATTGTATTCTTTATTTATTTTGTATCAATTGTATTCGAAATACAATGAATACAATTATATTCATCCTCTCTTTGATTGGATACAAACACATTTGACAAAATGGATGAATACTTATTGTATTCGTATAAATACAAAGTACAGTTTTTCGAATACAATTGAAATAATATACAAAAGTCTCACATATATTAAATTTAATACAATTGATACATTAGGGGGGAGAGGGCAAGTGAGAGGGAGGGGAGAGAGATGAACACTTTGCTATACTAATAACATAATGTTCTTTCTTATAAAAAATTTCCCTCCGTTTCAAAAAGAATTTCCTAGTTTTCTTTTAGTTTGTTTAAAAAAGAATGACCCCTTTCCTTTTTTGGCAACACTTTAACTTCAACTTTCCACGCGACATAATTAAGGCCACAAGATTAAAGGACATTTTGGTACATTTGACATAACTTTAATTTAGAACCACAAGATTAAAAAGTCTTCTTTCTTTTCTTAAACTTCGTTCCAAGTCAAACTAGGTCATTCTTTTTTAAACGGATGGAGTACTATTTTTCATATATAAAGAGTCAATATCTTAAAACGTCACTGAACTGTGAAAAATTATCTAACAAAGTCACTGAACTTTGTTTTATATGAATAAAATCACTAAACTTTAGACTTTTTTCTTCAAAAATCATTCAACTACATTTATCATTTAAATAAATTTCACATGATAAACTAAATTATTTTTTATATATTTAATTATAAACCCACAGACAAATAAAATTATAGAATCTATTTATTTTTATGTCATATAATCATAAACCCGTAAGTAAACAAAATTATATATTTTTTCTATTTTTATACCGTGTATGTTTTTTCTCATTTTGCAAAACAAGTAGTAGTTACGTTTTTTTTTGGATTATGTCAGAAGCTCAAAGTTTCTGTCATATCAATCCCATTTGAAACACTTGTAGTCCTAATTTGTGTCTGACATAACCACAAAAAATTACAAAAATAATTCCAATATTTTGCTATGATTTCTAGTCTTTTTCTTCTTCTTTGATTCTGAACTTCAATAAAATACTCCTCCATAATTTTTAGAAGTCAATAAAGAAGTAGAAGAAACGGGAGACTCAACTTACCAGGGGAAATATGGTTTTACTATTAGATGAATTCAATTTATGGGTAGGTTGGATATAATAATAAAATAGATTCTAAAATTTTATTTATTTGTGGGTTCATATTAAATAGCATAAAAAAATAATTTAATTTATCATGTCAAATTATTTTAATGATAATTGTAGTTAAATGATTATTGAAGATAAAAGTCTTAAGTTGATTATTGATACAAAATAAAGTTTAATGACTTTACTATATAATTTATCATAGTTCAGTGACCTTTTAAAACAGGGAAAATGTTCAAATATGTAATTGAACTTTCAGAAAAAGTTCATTTATGTCATCTGCTCAAAGTTTAACTCATTTATGACATTGTTATTAAAGAAAAGGCTCATCAATGCCATTCTTTTTAACTCCGATTTTGCAAAATCACTTTTTACACCCCACACAAGGTTTAACATTTTTCAATTTAAATTTGGATCAAATGTACTCTTTTTGTTTGTTCTTCCTTAAGAACACCAAGAACACATAAACATAAACAACTCCCAAATTTTCAACATATTCAATTCTTCACGAAATCATCTCAAATTTCGGCTACATCATTAATTTCTTTTTTTAAAAAAATCAAAATTCTAAAATCATTTGTAGAGTTTAAAAAAATTACTTGTATTAAAACAAAATATTCCAAAAAAACAAAAATCAGTCAAATTTTCAAAAAATATTGCTTTGATTCATGTTTTTGTAGTTGTTTTTGACATTAGATCTCTGTTTCCTAGTGTTTTTTGAGTCTATGTTCAAAATTTTAAATGATTTAAAGTTGTGGAGAAAATTCTACCATTAAATAATGTTATAGTTTTAAAACTTTGAAGAAATTTCAAGTGAATCTTGTTGAGTTAGGTTGAATTCGCACTCAAAAGATGTTGAATTTTGATATCTAGCTTGAAGAGAAACTACTCTTGAAATTACGGCTCGTTACAATCCCTCTGTAACGAGCCGTAGCCCGTAGCCCGTAAGTGATCCTAAAAAGAGCCAACCCCACTTTTTATAAATAAAAAAATATAAAGTCAGAAAGAAGCAAAATACAGCTATTACTGCTTTAATTTTCGCTAAAATGAAAAACTCAAAAGTAAGAAGTTTGGCCACCAAAGATGTGATGCAGAGGACTATTCTTTTCTTAATCAAAGATTTTAAATTTGAGGTGTGATGTGAATATTAAAAAATTTTGATAATTGATGATTTTTTTCTTGAATAGAGTCTTACGCAATGTAAATTTCAATATAATTAAAATAATAATGCAAATATTGAAGATTGGAGAAAAAAAAAGTACTCGTTTTGTCATACTTTATATAATTTATTTTCATTTTTAATTGGTGTAAAAAAAGATAAATTTATATAGTATTAAGTAACAATTTAATTTTAAAATATTTATTTTATTTTAATAAAAATAATTTATAATCATACAAATTAATTCACAAATTTCAAACTTTTTTTTTTTCCTTAAATTTTGTCGACTTAACTCATACAAAATGAAACGACGGACGAAAGTTTAGTGGTGGGGCAGTGGTGCTGATTCTAAAGCTAATAATAGATAAGAGTTGAGAAACATTCTCAAATTGGATTTTTGCGAGAACACTGTGTTGCTACTGTGGCAGACAAAAATCAGAAAAAACAACTTATCTTTTTTATGGATCGATTTTTTTGTGTTGTATTTTTCTCTCAAAGTTTTACATCTTCACGTCATTTATAATGCTTTTCACACTGTATTTGCACTGTTGTAGCTCAAATAATTTCATTGTGCCGCATCAAAGCTAATTTGGAACCTTCTTGAGTGAGTTTTTTTTCTTTTTCTGAAGATTAATGAATAAAAATATTCCATTTCTTTTTTCTCATAATGCATGTTCAATCAGTTTTTGTTTGAATTTTCTGATTTTGGATAACTTTTCTGCACTATCATTATAGGTTTTGAAAATTTATCTTTAAATATTTGCTTTGTCATAAAATTTGATTAAATTTTGAACACATAATCTTCGGATATGTATATTGGAAATGACCTCTGTATAGGTAGGGTAAGTAACGTTTGTATATATTCTGTGGTGTCAGACTCCAAGATACACCAAGTATATTTTTGTTGTTGATTTTTAAATATTTTCAAATTCCCAAAAAATTAGTCTGAGTTGGGTTTTTGGGACTTTCACTCGTAGAACTCCAATTTTTTCTTTTAAGTAAAATGCATGTTCAAACACAATTTTAAATTTCAAAAAGTCAAATTTTCAAGTTTTAACTTCAAAATTTGTGACGAAAAAGGGAGTTTAGTGTTTTCCTTTTTGCCTTGTTATTAGTTTATATATATTTATGTTCCGCGTGAAAAATACTAGATTCAGTTGAAATCTGTAAGCAGTATATAAACTCTCACCCTCCAATGTCCTGTTATGTTTATCAAGATTCTATGTCTTAGAAATTTTACATTTGCCTATATGAAACACTTTTTTTTTTTGGGTGGTAGTGGTTGTTTGTTCATATTTGTGCATTTTTCCAGAATCAGTTGATGCTTTTTGTCTAAAAATTTGAGTGGTGCTCTTCAATTCATACCATTCTGATATGTGTCTTTGCTGTGACAGGTTTTTTTCTACTTGTTTTCTCAAAAAAAAAAACAAAGTTTGGTGAAGTTTATATATAAAGAATTAGTTAAAGGGCGGTGGTGTCAGTGGAGTGCAAGTGGGATTGCCTCTGATTTTCAAGAAACTATAACTAGCATTTAACAGATACAGAATCATCAAAGAAATCAATTTTTTTTTCTTGTTGAAGGCCTAAAAAAGCTCTGAATTTTAGATCAGAGGTGAAGAGAATTCGCGCCGGAAGATGAAGTATATGAAGCTTGGATCTAAGCCTGATCAGTTTCAGACTGAAGGAGATAGTATCAGGTGAATAATGAACTTAAATTTTGGTGAATGCTGTTGAGTTTCGTTGTTCTGCATATATTTCTTGTTTCTGCTTTAATATTGTGTTACTCGAGACGAGGGTCTTTCGAGACTACATTGGATTTGTTGTTGTTGTTATTTCTTATTTCTAGATGATTTTAAGTTTTATGCACTGATCGACAGGGTACTTTTTATATTACTATAGTGCTATGGTTGTTGAAACTTTTGTTGTGTTCATTTAAGTTAGTTTTTCCTCTCATATTACAAACACAGAAAAGCACATCATGCTGTAAAAGTTTGATGAAAAATGCTTTTGCGGTTATAGTTGCTTAAATCAATCTTCAACTGTTTGGTTGGGTAAAAATTTGAAATTCTAAGTTTGGCTGAGTTGCGGACTCTTCACTTTCGATGTTGCACCCGTGTCGGATTCTTCAAAAATATAATACTTTTGGAGAATCCGACACACACCTGTTGACATTTTGAGAGTCCGAACAACATAGGAGCTTAGTTGGTTTTGCAGGTGGCAATTGAAGATGAATATGAGTAGAATGTTAGCATGTTGGTTGGTAGAAGCACTGTGATATGGAGTAGCAATAGAAAAAGTTTCATAAATGGCTTACACACTTAGTAGATATCAAATGCTTTTCTTGAAACATAAGCTTTCGACAAATTTAGATCATCAAACATCAGAAGACGATTTTGTCAACAAAAATATATTCTTGAAAAATGTTGTTTTTCAAACTAGACTGGACCTTTAAGTTAATGTTTTCACATTTATTGGCCTTTACGGAAACTCCTATTGAAGATTTTCGATTACTTCTAACAATCAAAAGTAATAATTCGACCACTTCCCTTATCACACGAGAACTAACCTGGGCCATTGCCTTGTTCTTGGTTCCCCACCTCTTATCAAATATCACAACAGGCATATCTGGATCAAGATAGATAGAAGCCCTTTTGCTGCCTTTGATTTATAGTCTAATTTACGCTACTCTAAACTCTTGATGTGTTCTAACTCATTGCAATGATGTGTTTATGTTTGACTTGTATAACGTGTCTGAGCTCATTTATTTCACATTTTCAGTAAGTAAAAGAAAACAGTATATTTCTGGTTGTGTTCTTTTGAATTAATACCGTGTTGATCCAGTTGAAACCTGGATCAGAGAAAGTGTAGTAGTACCTTAAAGGTAAAGTAGTATATAGGTTTCTTTGCCTTCTCTGAACTAGGATCCAATACTTTGGAAAAAAGTGTTAGTAATACCAGGGAAGCGTTCTAATTGTGTTATCTCTTCTTCCACGCCTCCCCGAATGTACAACTAATGAAAATCACAGTGATGGTGTGCTGTTCAGGGACTTCTCCGATACATTTTTAGGCTGTAAATATGTTAGTAGCTTTACATACCGAGGAACTTATTACTTAAGGGTCATTTTCTCAAACTGGAAATGATAATAATGATTCAGGAAGGGAAACATACACCATCGTTACATGACAGAGAGTTAACAAACACACCCCTCTTTCTGTGTGTAAAATCTAGAATGAAGGAAAAGGAAAAGTATGCTACAAGAACTTAGATCATGTGGCGGTTACAATGCCCTTCATGAAAAGAAGACTTTTAACATTCATATATTTAGGATAGCTCCTTTGTTAGTTAGTAAACCTCCAGTTTTCAGTCTACGCATATCAACTTATATAGCATTTGTTGTTTCAAATATTTGCTTGTAGTTATTCATCTACGTTTCACATATGAAGAAATGATGTGGTAATTTGAGATTAATGGTAAAGTTTTCATTAGGCATATGATCTATGAACTTTATATTCAGGTATGTAGCAGCTGAATTGGCTACTGACATGGTTATCAATGTTGGAGATGTGAAATTTTACCTCCACAAGGTAAGTAACCTTTCTCATTCCATATTTGTCAGTTGTTTTCTGAATGAGAAATAGCAAATATACTAATAGAAGTACATTTTCTTCAGTTCCCCCTTCTGTTGAAGAGTTATCGCTTGCAGAAACTGATTGCTTGTACAAACGAGGAAAATAGTGATAAAATCAACATCCATGATATACCTGGTGGACCTGCTGCTTTTGAAGTATGCGCAAAGTTCTGTTATAATATGACAGTAACTTTGAATGCATATAATGTCGTTGCAGCTCGTTGTGCAGCAGAGTACTTGGAAATGTATGAGTCAGTTGAGAAGGGAAATCTTATCTACAAGATTGAAGTTTTTCTTACGTCTAGCATCTTCCGGAGCTGGAAAGACTCCATCATTGTTCTTCAGACCACAAAAGCTTTTCTTCCCTGGTCCGAGGAATTAAAAATCGTTAGTCATTGCCTGGAATCTGTAGCTTCTAAAGCTTCTGTAGACACCTCAAAGGTGGACTGGTCTTACACTTATAACCATAAAAAGCTTCCATCCGAAAACGGAAGTGATCTGCACTGTAACGCGGTGAGCTGGCAACAACTTGTTCCAATAGACTGGTGGGTTGAGGACCTTTGTGAGCTTCATATTGATTTGTATAAACGGGTCATAGTAACAATAAAATCAAAAGGAAGGATTTCTTCAGAAGCAATAGGTGAAGCATTGAAAGCATATGCCAACCGGAGGCTCCCGGGATTCAGCAAGGGCAGTATACAAGGAAGTGATCCTGAAAAGTATCGGTACATGGTTGATACGATTAGTTGGTTGTTGCCCAAAGAGAAGAACAGTGTTTCCTGCAGTTTCTTGATCAAATTGCTGCAAACATCTATTGCATTCGAATGTGGACAAACGACGAGAAGTGAACTGAAGAGGAGGATTGGCCTGCATATGGAAGATGCAACAGTAGGTGACTTACTAATTCGAGCTCCAGATAGTGAGACTATTATATTCGATATTGACATAGTACACGACCTCGTAGAGAATTTCATGTTGCATCAAAAGAGCAGTCAGATTGATAGTTCGGCAGATAATAGATTCCACGATATATGCCCCACGTTTGCATCAGATGCTTCCGAAGTAAAGATGGCTAGGGTAATCGATGGATACCTTGCTGAAGTTGCTAGAGATCCAAATCTACCACTATCGAAATTTATCAATCTTGCAGAATTGGTCTCTAGCTTCTCTAGACCTTCCCATGATGGAATTTACCGTGCTATTGACATGTATCTTAAGGTATCATCTTGTACTTCTCTTGTTTGAGTTGCAGTTTGTGTTCATGTAAGCTCGAGAGCCTCACTCTCAAGAGGGAAAATGCCAATATTATGTGAAGAATTTCTCGTCAAGGATCATGAATGATCATTATTTTGTTTTGACAGGAACATCCTGGGATAACCAAAAGCGAGAGGAAAAGAATTTGTAGGCTAATGGACTGCAGGAAGCTATCAGCTGAGGCCTGCATGCATGCTGTGCAGAATGAGCGCCTTCCTTTACGAGTAGTTGTACAAGTTCTGTTCTTTGAGCAACTCAGAGCCACAGCATCATCCGGTGGTGGCAGCACTCCTGACCTGACTAGATCGGTCAAGTCCTTGCTCCCGGTGGGATCTCAGAGGTGCTCCACATCTGCTACATCCAACATTGAGGACAATCCGGATGCTGTGCTCACAGCCAAGGAACTTAAAGCTCTGAAAGGTGAGCTTGCTGCTCTAAGATTGAGAGACAGAGGAGATAACAATTGTAGTAACTTGAATGACACAAAAACAAATGCTGCAACGGTTGACGATAGCAAAGTGAGGAGTTCAATCATGTCCAAAAAGATGCTCTCAAAACTATGGTCAAATAAAGAAAGACAAAGTGAGAATAGTAGCTCAGATACATCAGAAAGCCCATCATCTTCTAATGCAGGGGAAACAAAGTCTACCTCATGTAGAAGTGGGAGGCATTCCCTCTCTTAGTATTAGCTGAAAAGTAGCCACGAGCTCAAAACCGACCACAGACCAGTGCCCGATATTTAAGAGGAGAAGGGTAAAGGGACGTGTCCATTTGAGCCGTGTGCTCTCTGGGAGATTTCTCGTTCATATAAGAAAAAAACACAGCTGCAGAGTGAACATAGTTTCCCTCATCATGTAAAACTATTGCACTCCCTGTTGACTCTAGGCTAATCCACTTAGAGAAAGTACAGATTAGAGCAAAGGAAAGTTTTTGTAGAAGGAAACAAGTTCTATGGTAGCTTTCAAATTCTTTCCCTAAAAGTTTTCTTTCTCTGTTAATAAGTGGCTCCCATACTCCATTTGTATCATATTCTTGACAATAAAACTCTAGCTGTATATTCCCTTTTTGCTCTTTTGGTAACTCAACTTACAACCTTCGGATTCGGGTTGGAACTTGGAAGTGACGAGTGCTTACCATCCAAGCAACTTCCTCTTTTTGCGCAATGAATAGTCTGTCAATTGTATTCATTTGCGATGAATACAACATGTATTTTTGTACACGCAATGAATACATTGGAGCCAACACACAGAGAAATAGGGATGTATACAAGAATGCAAATACAGGGGTGTATACATAGGTACATAATCACAAAAATATAGTCAAACAAGGATTCACTCATAAGAATATAGTCAAATAAGGATACAAACAACAAAATACATCACATTCATGTTTTAAAAAACCAATAGGCGAAATATATAGAAATATAAGGGGTATATATGGGTACAAATAATAAAAATACATTCCATATCTTAAGAAAAATTGATACATACATGATACGAGATACAAAAATTCATCCTATAGACATAGAGTGACATACATAAAAATATATTTCTAATAATATCTGGAATTTATCTTGTATTCACTGACAATATTAATAATTTGTATACAATCAACACAATTTAATATATTATAGAAAGTTACTTGTCTTATTGTATGCAAAGTTTATTTTTTCATGGAGAAAATGGTCTAAAACCCCCCCAACCTATACCCGAAATTCCAACTACACACTCCAACTTTACGGGTGTCCTATTACCCACCTGAACTTTATAATTCTCTATTTTATACACACCTAAGTGCTGACCTGTCATGGAAGGTGTTCTCACCTTCTCTAGGCGCGTTAGAAGGTGAATTTTGACGAAAATTTTCGAGAAAATAGTCATCTTCCCCAATTAATCAATGAAAGGATTCAATTTCAATTGACCTCCATTAATGGCATTGCTAGTGCTTTCGTTTGTTCTCCCTCTTTTGCTGCTCGACCATCAGCCACCGCTGTCGCCGCCTCCGGCGAAATCCAAACCCGATTGAATTTGATTTTTTTTTGTTCGTCCTTATGATTGAAGTTTTTATTCTTCCAATTACTGGATTCAAAGCTCTTTCTGCCGAGTTTTGCCATGGTTTCGATCATGTATCGAAATAAGAAAAAAAAAATTGATCAGTTTGAGTTAATTGTCAAAACACATTGATTTTTTTTAATTTCATACTTACACTTTTTTTAAACTATCAGCAATTGTTTCTCGAAACACATCTCAATTATCAATAGTTTAGTTTTCTATATTAAACTCTTATGTGTTTTCGACCTTTCACTCAAATTTGCAATTTTTTGTTAAAATTTGGGCTTTTTTCTATATTCAAAATCGAGAAAATGGTCTAAAACCCCCCCAACCTATACCCGAAATCCCAACTACACACTCCAACTTTACGGGTGTCCTATTACCCACCTGAACTTTATAATTCTCTATTTTATACACACCTAAGTGCTGACCTGTCATGGAAGGTGTTCTCACCTTTTCTAGGCGCGTTAGAAGGTGAATTTTGACGAAAATTTCCGAGAAAATAGTCATCTTCCCCAATTAATCAATGAAAGGATTCAATCTCAATTGACCTCCATTAATGGCATTGCTGGTGCTTTCGTTTGTTCTCCCTCTTTTGCTACTCGACCATCAGCCACCACTGTCACCGCCTCCGGCGAAATCCAAACCACCAACAAAGCCTCGTTCTCCTCTTCCTCTCTCCTCTTATCTCTCTCCCATTTCGAGACAACCACCATAAAGACCTACCTCTATTCTCACAACAAGATTGACAACAACAACAACAACAAAACCTTGCGGCTGCACTTTCACCACACCAACAACAACAAAACCTTGCGGCTGCACTGCTCCAACCAACGAGCTCCGGCGAAGCAAGCAAAACAGATCGATCCTTTTAGATTATTTTTCAATGTTCTCCGACAAGCAAAACTCGAATATCGCTTGACAAGCTCCCGCTATCAATATTCATCTTTGTTCCTCACAATTCCATAGGAATTTGAAAAAATTGGGGGAAGAAATTACCTTAGAAATTTTAAGAAATTGGGAGAGTATAGGAAAAAGTGGAAAGGAATTATAAAAAAATTGAAAAAAAATAATAAATTAATTGAATTTTCACCTATAAAACGCGTGAAGTTCACAGGCCAACACAGATCTGGTTATGGCGTTTTAAGGGTGTAATTATTACAGTTTTAAACAATTCAGGTGGGTGATAGGACTCCCCGTAAAGTTGGAGTGTGTAGTTGGGATTTCGGGTATAGGTTGGGGGGGGTTTTAGACCATTATCTCTTTTTTCATGTATTAATTATTTATTTCACTTTATGTACTGCATAATTTTCCATCATAATGTATACATATATTAGTTATATGATCAAACTACACACCATATTAATTTTATACATGAATAATTTACCTCCTAATCAGGTAATAGAAACATTAAGGAACTTGGTCCAATTTTATTGTCATTCAGTAGCCATGCAAACTTCGATCAATTAAATGCTCCACAGTCTTTACGAATATTTTCATTTTTACCCAACTTCAACCCAACTCGGCCCAATTTAGTCATCGCATTCACAAATGCGGTTTTGAAAACTTTAGAATTGCTGGCCCATAAATTAACGTACCCTTGGACCTTTGGTCTGTGAATAAAACTTGATCTGAGGTGAATAGGCCCATTCCATTTTTTTCAAGTTTTTGAAGTACAGAAAATTCATATATTTGAGGGTTAATTACATCCTATTTCGAAAGTTTCCCCAATTATTAAAATTCAGAATTTCTCTCTACTCTCATATATATTTTTTGGTTGTCCGATGCATTGCTTAATGAGAGGAACATATCCGAGAGAGGACATGGAAATATCCGAAAGGGGATGAATGTATACAGGAGGGGAATAGGGATATATCCGAGAGGGGATTTTAATAATTTTTTAAAATGATAGAAATTTTTAGAGATTATGATATATTTATGTAATTTTTTCATATGGATATAATAAAAGGTCGGTTTACGTACCCATGCAATTTTAGATAGTGTTTTTAGGCAGTCAATTAATTTGCTGAAAAAAATAAATTAACAGCCATCACAATATTCAGATAAAATAATACCTAAATTTACAACTAAAAACAGTAAAAATACAATTTATGATTTGTTTGAGCAAGTCTCTAGTAAGTCAAAAATATTAAGTTCTTAGAAAATAAAATGTTATTTTTTTTAAGTTAGATATTTAGCCAAATTTTCAGGAAAAATTAAGTGTGAATTTTTATTTTATTTTTATCTATATAATATTTTTACATTTTTATGAAACAATACAAAAACCATGAAACCATTAAAAAATATATTTAATGGCACATGAAAGTCATCTAAAACTGCATTGATGATTATTTGAGCAAATCTAATGAACGTGAGCCGATATACTCTCTGTCCCTAATTAAGTAACGAGAACTATTTCAATTATTCTCGTAGATTTAAATGGTAATTTTGAACGAGTTATTTAACTAGGATTACTTAGTTGGTGGATATCTATTAAATAGTTAATTTTTATTAGTTGATGGTTAATGGCTAAGTCCATAATTTATTTAATATCCTATATTAATTGGTTAATATTTATTAAAATAAGTTAGGGGTTTATTACTTTTAATATATAATCTATATCTATATAATAGGATAGGTGATAGAGCCTACGTGTCAGCACCACAATTAATCTCTAATTTTTTATTTTTAAATTATAAACTAATTAAATAGAATTAATGTAAATTTTTTATTAAAGGGAAAACAGTTACTGTTTTAGAAGACAAATTAGAATTTTTGTTTTTCTTTAAAAAAAAATGAAAAACGTTGAATTTTAACATACAAGTTAGATTCTTCAATTTTGAGTTTTAAAAAAATAATTAAATATATATAATTTAAAACTTATTAACAAAAAAGTATTATCTAATAATAATAATAATAATAATAATAATCTATATCTGTATAATAGGAGAGGTGATAGCGCCTATGTGTCAGCGCCACAATTAATCTCTAATTTTTTATTTTTAAATTATAAACTAATTAATGTGATTTTTTTATTAAAGGGAAAACAGTCACTGTTTTAGAAGACAAACTAGACTTTTTGAATTTTAACATACAAGTTAGATTCTTCAATTTTGAGTTTTAAAAAAACAATTAAATATATATAATTTAAAACTTATTAACAAAAAAGTATTATCTAATAATAATAACAATAATAATAATAATATATCTATATATCTTGGAGAATAAAAAGTGCCACATGTCATCACCACAAAAAATCTTAATTATTCAATTTTGAAAAATAAAATTTTAAATTTAAAAATAAGTTAAATTTTAAAATGTTTTGAAAAAAGACTACAACTACGTTATTTTTTTCAAAATAGTTACCACACTTTTTACATTTTAAAAAGTCATAAAAATAGAAAACAATAAAAAAAAATATTCTATATCTATCTATATATAATAGGAGAGGTGAAAGCACTTACATGTCAGCACCACAAAAAACCAATTTTTAAAATAATTAAAATTAATTAAATGTAGAATGATTAATAATAAATTACTAATATATTTTTTTAAATAATTTTAAATATGGTGATGTAGCGTGTGTGTGATTTCCTTTTTTTGTGGGAAGTTAACTCATTTTTAATTTAAATAATATTAATATTAATAATAAGAAAAAAAAAACTGACAATAGAAAAAAAAAATTAAAAAGAACTACCCACGTTCTTTGGGAAAATAGCATATATATATTCTATATATAATAAGCCACAATGCAACTATCATTGTAACTATCTTGTTAGCTTTCAACCAAAAGCTAACAAGATTTTTTAGTTACATATTTATTATTTAGTTACATATGTCATTGTATGAGCTATTTATTACTCATTCCTTTTGAATTTGTTAATTTGTATTTTGATCTTGACACATAGTTTACAAAAGTAAATTAGATTTTGAGAAAAAACATTAAGTGATACTTGAAGCTGTCCCAGATTTTCAAAAAGACACCTTAACTTTGTGTGCGTCCTATTACCCCACA